CAGAGGCAGATCAAGTATAGTAGTCCTTACAATACAATTTGCAGGTGCAAGTCATGCTTTGTAGTATTGTTCATGACTAAAGAATAATTTTCTCTTGTATATAGCTCATATTACAGCTATAGACTGCAAAAATAGCTAGCTTTGGGTTAAAAAAACCCCCCACAAAACCACAGAGTTGCTGCCGAAAGGAAACACATTTTCTCCATAAATGGGCCTAATTCTGTTCTGTATAACGGTTAAAAATAAATTAAAAACAGTGTTGGTTTTGGCTTATTTAGAATTTAGTATATCAGTGAAAACTATATCTTAGTTTATTCCACTGCAACATGTACTGAAACAAGAATACCCACACATAAAATAACTAAATTTTATGGGTGAATTAGCTTTAGATTTAGACAAGGTGGAAAATACATTATCTTTTGGAACTTCCACCGATAAAGCTGTCCTTACAAACATACGAAACATCCTAAACCTCTCAAAAATCTAATTAAATGTGCTTGGTGTGCATAGCACTGCGTCCTGTTAAAAAAATTCTAAAAATATCGTCTGTTCCATAGCACATTCAAGTGCATTCATGAATGTGGGCCTGTCCAAAGACCTCCACCACTTTGTCCCCACAAAATATGCAAAGACGCAGTAAGTGCTGTTTCATTTACCCATATCTTTCAAACTATTCCTTTTATTGTTCATTGCAGATAAAGAGAGGCTATTCACTACAAGAATACAGAGAGAAATGGATGTTCTATACATACACAAATAACTTTTTGTTTCTAAATTCTTTATTTTTTAAATTTTAAAGAATTGACAAACGACAAGGTTATAAATCATTTCAGTGAGATAGCACAAGAACAATAACAAATGCTTTGACAAGTACAAATGTCGTGTTCGCTATTCTATGCAGCATTTATAAAGTTGTTCCATTAGTACGTTTGCAGGTCAGTAGGTTTCACCTTTTAGTATTTGCTTTCTGGACAACATATATCACTCAAGCTGCACTATTAAGGATGAACTGGTCGATAGGGAGGGGGAAAAGAGAAATTCGGCTACCAGGCTAAACCCATTGCTGCAGACTTTGATACACCCTGACCATACTGGATTAATCCCCACCAGACAACTATACAAGAACACGAGGAGGGTGGCCAATCTGATGTGGTAGTTGGTTGTGTCAAAAACACCTTCTCTGGTCCTTTCTTTGGACGCAGACAAAAAAGGTTTGATTGGGTTCAGTGGCATTATCATTTCAGGTTGCTTGCTTACTTGGGATTTCATCCTCTTTTGTCACCGGAGTCCAGGCCTCATATAGTGATCCTTGGGCTCAAACCTTAATCCCCTGGGTGACACAAAAATCCTTTAGTTTAAGCAATGGCACTCGTCAAGGATACCCCCTGTCGCCTCTCTTATTCATCTTGACTCTGGAGCCACTGCTCCATTTAATTCAACTCAGCCCATACATACAAGGCATTAAGATAGCTGAGGAATTTAAAGTATCGCCATACATGAATGATGTCCTGCTCACTCTCACCAATCCGAGACTGTGCTTGGTTAAGTTATTACAACTACTCGACACATTTAACTACATCTCCAGATACAAAATTAATTTAGACAAGTCCATGACTATGTATAGGTCAGGAAAGGGTACAGGGAAGCAGCGCCTTCTGGGTGTCCTCAAACTCATATAGTGGTAAGCATGGAAAATATGAGATTAAAAAAAAAAACAGAATATTGTGCAGTATATTCTATTTGTGGTGAGGTAAAATAAGAAAAATACCATTTACAATTTTCTGCCTGGGCGGTATGATCCCCGCCTGTGGATTTGTCGTACAGCTTGGTTCCTTGTAGATAGTAGGTCAGGATCAAGCGTCAGAGTGTTGAGCGTTCACGGGTATTTCCCTCCAAATTGCAGTGTCACAGATATTCACCAAGTACATAAAATGAGAATAAAAACAGAAAAATATTGCTCTCTGTTTTGTTGTTATAAAAGCAAAATAAAAGGAGGTTTACTCACAAAAGAGGAGCAAAAATTAGGTTTTTGCTCAATCCTGTGTAGCGTAGGTGGTTTCCTCCCCACCAAGGAGGTATAAACTTTTCCATACTTACCACCATACAAGTTTGAGGATGAGTTTGACCTATACCTAGTTACTGCCAGATAGAAGAGACTCTGGTTTGGGAAGTACCAGCTGCCATACCCAGATCCACTACATGCACTACACACAGACACTGCATCCACTACATGCACTACACCAGGGCTGCCCAACTGGTAGATCCCCAGATGTTTTAGAACTACCACTCCCATAATGCTTTGTCATTCTAAATGCATTCTAAAGGCATGCAAGGCATAATGGGAGTTGTAGTTCTACAACATCTGGTGATCTACCTGTTGGGCAGCCTTGCACTACACACAGACACTGCATCCCCTAAACTTTACACAATACACAAACACAGACACTGCACACACTACACTGCTTCAACTACACCAGTGGTAGGCAACCTTTTTCTACCTACGGCCCACTAATGCATCTTTCTTGATGGAAAAATTTCCTTAC